ATCAGTAGGGGAAAGATTTAGGCCTTTACCCAAGTATATTACTCACTTCTAAAGGCAACCTTGCTCATTCTCTTCGCTAGTTGTGAATACATAAGCTTTTACCCTCCATAGTTAGCATTAGCACCACTCTATGATTTAGGATTAAACAGATGTTTCTAAGTATAGTCTCTGATATATATAATGATTCTCACAATATAAAAGTTTATTTTGAGGTTGTCCCTGCAGGTGTTAGACAGGGAATCAAGCTGCTATAAGAGATAAGAGTAACAACATGATGAAAAATGACTTCGTCAACCTGGGTCAACTTTAGAGGGTCTAATGCCAGGCAGGTCGTTGCCAGCATATTTTAAACAGTGCAGTTTGGGAAAAGGCTTCTAGGTAGCAATCAGTTCAGCTCCAGGTACGCATAAAGCTTAAGGTGCGACTACACAGAAACTCCTTAAAAGGTACCTGTGTCCATGAAAGTGGGTTCTGTAGTTCAAAGGCCTAGAATATAAGGTGGTCCCTGGCCAAGATAGCATAGAAGTCAACAGTCTGTAATGTACATAAGATATCTCCCCTCATGATGGGAAAACCTGGGAGATAGGGAGGGAGAGTCTGTGATAAACATTCTGGGGGATTTGGATGAGGTCTGCCTTTATAGCAAATGGTTTGTGAAGTCTGCCTACACAGACAGCAAAAATATCATCAGGTTGTTAAGAAAATCCATGCTCATTTCTCTGAATGCAGGTATTTGATTTTATCTCCTCTGCTGTGGGAACTCCTTTAGCCATAGCCTTTAAGATATTGGCCCACTTTGTATGTGGTCAAATGTACTATATATACAGATGTAAAAACATTCATGGCAACTTGGCTGCTAGATCCAGTTCCTATTTCCCACTCGCGCAGAGGACAGCTGATCTGTGTGTCTACCCCTAAATAAAGCAGCCTTTATTATACTCCATTCTGAGCTAGTGTGGGACTATTTTATTATAATCACAACAAAATGGTGCCAACCATAACTCAACTACAAATACATAAAACCTGAAAGGGCTTAAATAGTTTTCTAGACACAAAAACAGAGTTTAGCGCAGCTTCTTGGTAGCCACATTTATCTATCTATCTATCTATCTATCTATCTATCTATCTATCTATCTATCTATCATCTATCTATCTATCTATCTATCATCTATCTATCTATCTGTCTATTTTTTCTGGATGAGCTCTGTTTGCTGGCGGTGAGCAGTAGTGCCTCCACTCCTTTAATAGAGGTCTTCCTGACTCAGTGTTGGCAATGAAGACTACACAGCTTCTTTACGGGCAGGTTTCCACGTTCCTGATAGTTGCAAGAACAGCTCTGGTTCTTTCTGAGGGCCAAGCACTTAAATGGGGTCTGTGAGTAGCATGTTACAAATTGCTTAATGGTAGCATAGACCCACTGCAACCCTGGATCTGGGGTGGTGTACTTGGCTCTTAGAGGCAGTAAACATGACTCTGCGTTGTTGGACTGGGGAGACAACAGACAGGGTTGTGGAGTTGGTCCTAACCATGCCCACTTGACATTTTTTAAAAAAAATCTGTGCTGTTATTTGTTCCTCCTCCCTTCCCCTTCTATTGTAATGACTTCTTTCTTCCCTTGCCAGTTGGAACCTCCTTCCCATTTTCCCCGATTTTAAGGAACCGAGTCTGAAATGCAATGACTTACTTTCTTCCCTCTCCTTTATACCGAGAGTAATCAACTACTTACTGTCATGAATACGTGTTACTCAGTAGAGATGCAGGCCAAGAATGCTGATAAGAACACATATTTCAGTGAATATCTAACAGTCTGAACAAATAATGATACCTCCTAATGTTCTAAATTTTACTCTTTAGTAAATCCAGAGAGTCTAAAGTTCTGTGATTTTACAGGATCATTTTAGTTTATTGGAAGGGTATTTCATTGAATTGGTCTTTGTAATCCTGCTGTTTTCACTAACTAAACATTATATCTGAATACCACTGAAGAAGGTTCAGCTTTTTGTTTCCGACAGGGATATTAGGAAGGAGTTTCTGTGTGGTATTACATATATTTCCTCTGACTGCAAATTGTTGAGGATAACATAGTTTAATTTTACTTCACATATTTTACAATTTCAGGACTATGTTTTTCTTTATTTTGGCATGACTCTAAAAACTATATTAAATACTTTTTACTTAGTTATGGTATTTTTCCTTATCTTACACTTAAAATTGCTTTTTTTTAAATTAATTTCTATCAATATAACTTTTGTGTTCTAAATGCTTTGTCCTTGTGCAGACAGATGAGTGTATTCCTCATATTTTATCAAAAAACACCTTTTTTCCTACAACAAATGGTTTCTACTACAGAGATCCATATATTATCAAATACAAAAATGTGTGAGTTGTGCCCAGTCACAACTGTTGCATCTAAAAAACAATTTTTGTACCCAACTTAAGGAGCATCACAGAATATGGATGGAAGACTCTCAGACACAGAGATTCAGATCATCTGCAGCTAGACAGCCTCTTCTAGACATGAAGGCAAACTACACCAATGAAATCTTAACAAATTACTGCCTTAAACTAGACCTGTTTAATGAAGTCTCTAGTAGACTTATGAGCATGAATGGGAGAGATTTCACACATCTCCACCCACAGATGATTTATAACATACCACCAGTGGCTATCAGAGAAGGGGAGTCAGTTTTCTTTAGGGGCAAGTTCCTTGATACATTACTTAATCCCAAGTGATCAGTTTTAATTTAAGTAACCGAACTAGATTCTTTAGGCTGTATACACACACACACACACACACACACACACACACACACACACACAGAGCAATAATAATTACAGAAGATGTAATGGATTTAAGATGAAGTTGGAAGAGCCATGAAAGTAGTCAAGGAGAAACATAGGAAATTGAAAAAGATCTAAATACCAAGAAGGTATCCATGTATCGAATTCTCAAAAAATTTAAAATTATAGTTTTTAATATAGCATAACATTTAAATACTTAGGTTAATTACTGTATAAGTAAATATAATATAATTATTTTATCAGGCATAAATATGGATACGAATGAGCTAATTTTGAAATATATATTTTTTACATTTTTTACTGATTTTATTGAGCTATACATTTTTCTCTGCTCCCCTACATGACTCTCCCCTCCACTTCAACCATTTCCCATAGTCCCATAGAGAAAATAATGGTGGAAGTAATTATAAAGATAACAGTGTCCTAGAAATGGGCAAAAGAAGTAGAGGAAGGAGGAGAATGGCCTTCATAAACAATTAAGAGGCTGAATGTATCATATAGAACATAAAAAAATACTTCATGCTTCTGATTTGAGTGAATGATTCACACTAGAGAATGTTTTGTGTGTGCGAATGTGTGGTTTCAAAAAGACACACGGGGAATTGAAAACAACAGGTCTAACTGTAAAGCACCTTTTGTGACCTTTTTTTCTTGGTTTTTATTGAGCTCTACATTTTTCTCTGCTCCCTTTTGTGACTTTTATCATCAGAATGTACCTTAACCAACGGCATCTTAGAGTTAAAGAATTTGACCTAATGCTGTGTGGTGGTTGTCATTTCTATCATTAATTTAGTTGCTATTTCCAAACAAATATTTTTAATACAGCATATGTAAAGGTCATTTGTGAAGGGAATACAAGTCTTGTCAATATTTAGAACTTTCAATGACATTTATGTTCAAGAAATAATAAGTATTGAATTTGCTAGATGTTATCATCAGTTCAAGAGTATATTTCTGAAAAGAACAGTGAATTTTTTTAAAAAAAATGAATGGTACATTTATAATGCTTTTGAACAGATCAGTTCAATAACTGGACCTGTAGGACAAGGTCCAGCATTGATAACTGACTGAGAGATAGAGAACATCTGTCTGATATAACAAACTTTAAGGAATCCTTAACCAAATAATGTCAAATATATTCTCCACCATGATATATACAAAAAATTTACTTGAACAAGTTGAATATAATTACAATATCAAGAAAAGAATTCCTTGGATAATAATGTGACAGATTTTTAAAAAGTAATGCATGGCCCAAGTGACTTAAGCTATGTCTAACTCTTAGTTTAAAGAACTCTATTCATAGCGTAAGAAGGTCACCGAGGACATTTTTTTTTTTAAGTTCAAGGTGTAGAAGCATCTAGACTATAGTTTTTGTTGTGGCATTTATAGAAGAAGCAGAGAGGTCTTTAACTAGAGTATGGCAAATGGAAACAAAAAGTCTCCATTTCAAGAACAAATATAAATAAGAAAGACTTGTTGGAGACCAGCTTCAAAAGCACATCACTTATCAAGGTAGGAGTATGTAGATTAGAAAATTAAAGAAAATAAAGACACGAGTGAAAATTATAAAACAGAAACATGGGATAGTACCAGGAGGGAGTTCCAGTGAATATTGAAGTCACCTGAGTTTAATTTCCTTTTGCTTAAAATATTCCTGACCCTAAAGATAGGAGTATGATTAAAAACAGCATTGACATGATACAAGGAAATGAAGAGTCCAGTTGAAGGATTGCAGGCTATATATTTAACTAAATAGTCTTCCCAGAACAAGCCAAGTAACACTCACACGCTAGACCAAAACATTCTGTAGGCTCAACCCTTCCTGTGTGGAATCCATAGTTACCCCCCTAAGTGAGTAGGAACCTAGTTAGATCCTTAGACTTTTGTTTGAGATGGAAACATATCTTCTTAATACCAGAAATACTACTTCTGGATATTAGCCACATGTGTTGCTAATAATAATAATCTCTCAATAATCTTGAGAGAGCAGAAGTAAGATTGAACTCTCTGACCTTTATTCAAGATAGAATGGACTCAAACTATGGGCCCTGGCAAAGACTGTATAAGTCAGACAGATGAGTCTTAAGTAATTAATGTGTGAAGATAAGTAACAAAAAGAAGTAACCAACACCTCTATGTAATGCTAATAATCACAATAAAACAATTTTTGCTGAAGTGTATAGTCTTTACCTTTTTATGGCTGCGACCAAATGTCATAAAAATAGTCTTCTTGTACAGGGGTCATGCTAATCTTCTCTGTCTTGTTCCAATTTTAGTTATGTGCTGCGGAGTAAATGGAGAGCTTGGAGACTTGGGGGAGGGCTGAAAGGGAGGGGAGAGGCAGGGAGGGGGACAGAGAAAAACGTAGAGCTCAATAAAAATAAAAGAAATTAGTTTTCTTAGAAGAACAATTTATTTTGGTCCACATTGAGACATTCATATTTTATTCTTAAGAATTTTATACAATGTACTTTTATTTTCTTATTTACTTTTCCCTCATGTTCCATTTGCCCCATCTCCTCCCCTCTACCCACAAACCCCAGTATACCCAGGACATCCCATCTATTTCTTCTTCCCAGGGAGATCCAAGCATCCCTCTTAGGATCTTCATTGTTATGTTGCTTCTCTGGGGCTGAGGACTGCAGCCTGGTTATCCTTTGCTTTACATTTAATATCCACTTATGAGTGAAAATATACCATGTCTGTCTTTCCGGAAATGGGTTGCCTCACGCAGGATGTTGTTTTCTAGTCATTTTTTTTAGTGCTATGAAATTTCCTCTTAATACTGCTTTCATAGTGTCCCATAAGTTTAGGCATGTTGTGGATTCATTTTCTTTTAATTATAGGAAGTTTTTAATTTCTTTCTTTATTCATTCCTTGCCACTTTGGTGGGTCAATTGAGAGTTGTTCAGTTTTAATGAATATTTTTATGACCAAGATTGTGGTCAATTTTAGAGAAATTTCTATGAAGTGCAGAGAAAAAGGTATACTCACTTGTGTTTGGTTGAAATGTTCTGTTGATGTCTATTAAGTCCACTTGGGTCATGACATCTGTTAGTTCCCTTGTTTCTCTGTTAAGTTTCTGTCTGGCAGACCTGTCCATTGGTGAGAGTGGAGTGTTGAATTCTCCCACTATTAATGTGTAGGATTTGAGGTTTGATTTAAGCTTTATTAATTTTTTTGTTTACAAATGTGAATGTCCTTGTATTTGGGACATAGATGTTCAGAATTTAAACTTAATCTTGATGGAATTTTTTCTTTGATGAATATGAAATGTCCTCTGTCTCTTTTGATTAATTTTACTTTGAAGTATATTTTGTTAGGTATTATGATAGCTACACTGGCTTTCTTCTTAGGTCCATTTGATTGGAAAATCTTTTCCGAATCCTTTACTCTGAGGCAATGTTTGTCTTTGAAGTTGAGGTGTGTTTCAACTCTGCAGTAGAAGGATGAATTCAAAGATCTAACCTGTGTCTTTATATTAGTGAATCAAGTCCATCTCAGGAACATTAGACAGTTCTTGATACATAAATACATGCTCCACAGATGTCTGAACTGGTTGTATTTATTTGTTATTTTTATTCATTTATTTAGACTATTTTCTGTTCATTTATATGTATATATATGTATATGTTTGCATGCATGTATATATGTATATATATAATATTATAGTATTTTTTCCTGAAAATAAACAAATGCATATGTGTAGTGATGATTATAGAAGGATAGATGAATTCAGATGTGGGAACACAATGGATACTTGCTAATATAGAGTATTCTAAATTTGAAAACATTTATTTACTTTAAAGTATGAATATCATATAGTTTTTATGTAAGAATCTTAAGCTATATTCTAAATGCCTAATGCTGAGATTCTAATCTAATGGCACCTGCCGAGAAAAGACATGTGGAACATTTGTTTGTACATAGTCCTAACATACTGAAATCCCTACCAGTTGCTTTATTCAAGAATTCCATGAAGAAAAGCAAAGGAGCAGATTGCACCTTAGAAGCAAGTTTCTCTTGTTGCCTTGAATTGTTCGTCATTCATACCCAACTTCTCACTCTTTCCTAACACTTCCCCACCCTTGGCTGAGAAATAATTCTTCTGAACGTTCCTTAAATAATGAAGGTCAAACTAAAACACTAAAGAAAGCCGAAAAAATAAAACTGTAGAGAACCCGGGAGAGGGTTCAATTCATCTTATCCTGCTGATAGATTCTTGAAGAGGTCCACGGTTAAACTAATATTTTCTTCTTTCTATTCTGCCTGTGCAATAAAACAGGACTATACTCTATCTTTGTATAGGTTTTAGCACTTAATTTACTAAATAAACTCAGAAGTCTGTCTCTTTGGGCAAACGGAATGCGTCTACTAAGGGTTTGGATGTTTCAAACGCTGCAAAGCGTAGCCCATCAGTTCCCAAATGTGTCAAATACATCACAGAGAGGACTCGTTTGGAGGAATTATCCCTTAAGAAATACTGTTCCAACTTTTCGTTTTGGTCCTAAAGTTCCTCCTCGCTTTTAAAAGTTCTCATTTTACGGCAAGAGCGGTGGCTACCAGGTCCAAAGTGATTTCTGTTCTTTCAGTGGCCTGGCATTAGCCTGCCTGCAACCAGGTCAAGATGACTTACAACCTCCTGCAATTCCAGCTTCATAGCACTCAGGCCGCCTTCTGATCTCCTTGGGCACCGGGCACCATACACATGAACACTGAATTAAAAGATGATAAATCTTTTCTTTCTAGAATGCTCTGATTTTTATGCGTATTGAAAAGTCAGCTGCATTTTGTTATTAAACTAAATAGCACTATTGATAAGAAAGAAATGATCCTTAATAACCTCCCATTTTCCTATTCACATTTTCATGGAAATCATCTAGAGGTTTGCCAATAAAGCTTTAGAAGAGAGATTTTATTTGAAATCACAAATGGAAATTTAACTTTACTAAAATGTGAGTGATGGTCAAATGCTATTTTGTAATGCAGTGCACTTTTTTATGTGACCTCCAAAGGAATGGTCTCCTGGCAACCTTCGGAAGGAAGGGAATTGGAGATACCTTTCTTCCTTGAGATAGTTGTGCCTGGATCTTCTTTCCATCACCGCTTTGCTGCTATGAACTGTTGCCTGAGCATTAGGGAGACTATTATTTACCTGGAAAATGTATTCCCCTTTGTATTCTTGAATATTAAGAAGAAATACTTTGAGTACTAACAAAATATCAAAAGATTACATTAAAGTAAAGTAGCAAATACCTAGCACTTACAAACATAGAACGAAAGGCAATTTTAATTTTTTTAAATATAGAGAACTAGGAAGTATTATTAGCATCAGGATGTAAAAGTGGGGAAAAGTGAGACCAATAAGAAAGTTCAAAAATGAAATACACATTGACACGTAAGTAAGGAGAGACTCCTTATTGCTGGTTCAGTGCCTCAGGAGAACATCCACCAGAGAAGTGCAGTAAGACTCAGAGGTTGGTGGTTTCCCTGCTCTGTTTCCCCCAATGATGAAAGAATGAGTTAGATTTGAGAGTGAGTGCAGATGCACAGAGCATTGGCAGTTCAACTATCATAAAATGTTTTATTTCCAAACTTGTATTCAATTAACATATTTTACTTCTTTAGAATATTGTTGTCTTAAATATTATCAATGAGTAAACTAAATTATATCTAGACATCTAGCCCTGCCTCTGAGTATATATAAAGAAATTCAATGGAAATATAAGAAAAGAAGAAAATATTGTATACTTATGTTTCATCATTAGTTATAGTTCTAAAAGGTTTCCATAAGTAAAACATTGCTAATTAATTTTTATTATAAATTGACCTAGGTATTTTTAAAGGTTTTTTTTAAAAGTTGTTACCTTTATTTACTTATTTTGGGGTCTGCGAACATGTTTGTTATGGTATTATTGTGACCATTAAGAGGAAAACATATGGGAGTATGTTTTTTTCTAAAATGTAGTTCCCATGGATAACAGAATTCAAGTTTTCAGATTTGGTAGTAAGTGACTTTTTCTGATAATCCATCTTCCTAGACCTGACATAAGTACTTCGGAAATTATATTTATTGACAAATGAGAAATATGTATTGTCCTGTAAGCCTGAAGGGCAAAACCTTATAAATTTAAAAATTAAAGTTTTGTGAAATGGCTCTACAGATAAAATGTCTATAATTCTTATTTAAATTTATTGTTCTAGATTTATCTTTTAATCTGGGTTGAAATGAGGGTAACTTATAATTGACAGAAAATGTTTGCACTGACAAACATAGAAAGAAAAGTAATTTTAAAAATTGAAAATATAGAAAATATTATTAGTATCAGTATGTACAAGTAGAAAACAGTGATATGAACGAGGCACCTTGACTGTTCAAAGATGAATTACACATCATCCTTGTACATCATCACCATCATCATCATCATCATCATCATCATCATCATCATCACTGTTCTCATCACTGTTATTGAAAATAATGGAGAGCCATAAATATCCTGTAAGTGGAGAAGTAGAATATTTGAGTTTAATTTTTGTCTTTGACTCAAGCTGTAATAAAGAAGAATGGAACATCAAATACAACTTTCAAAGTCCAGGAAGCAATGAATTGGTTGCCAAATCACTCACCTAAGACACAGAGCACTGCACCTCATCTCGCTAAGTCTGACCGTTAGCTGGCTCTCCCTCTTCTCTCCCCCTCCTAAGGTCAACAGTCTCTGGGAAACCCTTTTCTAACTTGAGATTCTCCGTGATCTATCTTTCTGTTTCTGCATGTGAGACCACAGAGCATTTGGCTTTCTGTACTTTGGTAAATTCATGAAACATGTCCTTTAGACATAATGAGATTTCACATTTCTGTTTATGTATGAATAAGACATTAGACACTGACAACCTGAATGTCATCCCAGAACCTGCATCGCAGAAGGAGACAATGGACAACAGCATCCTACTCTCTAGTTTCTACAAGTGAGCATTGTCATGTGCACCATTTAGCCATCAAATGTGCAAAACCAATCCATCAATAAATCAATGTGAAAAGCATTTAAACTGCTTCTTGCAATACTTGATAATAAATAGATAAAATTTGAAGAAACTAAAGCAAACAAATGATTACATTTATTGCATGAATTACCTTTTATGTACTCAAACCACTAGATAATATACATGTGTGTATGTTTGTGTGTTTGCAGTCAGGTTGTCTTTCATCAGAATTCTTTTTTTTATTATAAATTGGGTCTTATCCTAGAGGCAATAAACACTTCATGGAAAGCTAAACATGCAGAGATAGCATAGCAGAATTTTG